AGTACCATTGATCTGTTTCAAGATTGTGGAGATGCATGTGCCAGATCATGTTTTACGATAATTTAATTTTAGACAGTATTTGCTCGATCTTGTTGAGAAAATTTATTGCATGTGTCGGATAACATCACATCATGTAGATTGGAGGAGCTATTATGAGGCCTACATAATCAGGTGGAATGACAGACATAAGTTTGTAGAGCATGAGCGAGCTCCACTTTCTTATATAGCTGGATTCGTACCATGCCTCCCATTAGAGACTTACATGCTGAGAGGCATGGTCGTGAGAGATTATTGTAAGTTTTTAAACTCAAGGAAAATGAAAATTCTTCTTTTAAAATCATATGGCTTGCTAAGCTTTGTATCTTCAAATTAAAATGTAGGTCCAGGCATTTGATGACATTGAAGAACATATAAATAAGGCTATTGCTGGGGTTTGGGATTCAAGTGCACTATCGATATTCAACAAGATCAGATGAATTATAGTTAATGTGTTCTATAGTAATCATGTTGACGAGCTTGAAGAACGTGAGGATAGGACACAAGAATTCATATAGGTGTACACACCAAGAAATAAGGTAGGCTCTTCTACGAAGCATGATGATGGAGCTGGCACTTCTTAGCGTGCTCTACCTGATGAGGATGATCTACCCACTACACACCCTCATACAAAGCCAAATGATAAGATTATCGAGGCTTGTGTTCATGGACATCGGGAGGGGAGTGAGCATCGGGGGAAGGGGTAAGAGAGGGAGAGGAAGGAGGGGAAGATTGCTAGTTTGTATGCGACTTTTCTATATGATATGAATGTTTGCATTGTGATTTTAAAAGTTTTTTTTTGAATATATATGGTTGTATTGATCGATAAGATATGTATTTATATGGTTGAATTTCTGAGTATTTATGTGGTTGGATTCTTGTATATTTATCTAATAGGATTTTCATGTATATGTGGTTGGTTAGATTTTTTGTATATACATGTGGCTGAATTTCATGTATGAATATATATGGTTGTATTGATCGATAAGATATGTATTTATATGGTTGAATTTCTGAGTATTTATGTGGTTGGATTCTTGTATATTTATCTAATAGGATTTTCATGTATATGTGGTTGGTTAGATTTTTTGTATATACATGTGGCTGAATTTCATGTAT